CAGTTCTCTTTTCAGTTACAGTCACAGCCATCGCTGCTTAAGCTCAGAGTCCCTAAAGCATACGTAGTCTTTTTAAAGATGGGTGATCATGTTACTAGAAAACTGAATCGGAGGGCTTACGATTTGTGAAGAAAAAACAATAGTTCTTGACTGGGTAGAAAAACAAATAACAAACTGGAACATCCCGTTTCTTGTGTTACGAGTCCGGCACCATTGTTGGTACCGGAATCCATACCGGTACCATTGGTACCTGAATCCGGTACCATTTGTGTTTTAAAACTCTTGAAGTCTTTTCCGTGATCTTAACAGGAAGATCATGGTGTTATTTTTATAGTAACAATTCATCAAATTTTAACAAAAAAAACAGCCTCTGTTCGTCGCAGTTTATCAACTACAGCTCAAATATAGACCAACAAATGTGTAATTTAGGAAAACGAAATTTTGTTGATATTTTTATGGCTTTTCGTTAAAATTCATGAGCCTTGAGCTACTTCCTTCTTCCATCCGATGCATTATATTATCCCCAGTGAATCTGAAGACGTTTCACTTTTATGATGCTTAAGCTGAGTGTAGATATATGAATCCTCAAACTGCTTACATTGCTAGTACTAGTACTCCTCGTGAATTCCTCTCCCTGACTGCTTTTTTTGCGTGTTTGTGTTCATGGGACTTGAGTAAGTATTAGGGTGGTTGATGCTCGATATACTAAGTTAATGTATACACTATTGTGTCGTTCTATTGTGTGAAGTTCATATGTTATTATTTAAGAGCTAGGAAACATTGTTGTGACGTCACTTGAGACTTACATCACTTGGTGTATCGTGCACTTACCATACTAGGAGTTAAACCTGATTTCACAATACTTAATGATTATACATTCCCTGCATGAAATAATTAATCTGAAAACTAGACCGCACTGGATTAGGATCATCACGTCTTATGTATGTGAAAAATACGAGGGTGTGTAAGGATGTAAGAGGTGGCAAAGAAGTTGTCTTAACTGAAGGCTTCAGGGTCTAGTTGGATTTTAGAACACGTAGCCAGCGAAATTGCAGCCTTTTGACTGAAATAACCAGATAACGACAATTGAAAACGCAGATCTGGTAGGCTCGAAGATCTCACTAAACAGCTGACTACAGAAGGAAAAGAAAGGGAAAATTAAGGAGATAGCTTGGAGATAAGAGACAAACCATTAGGGCGCCACTCTTATTTGATATTATGGCTAATTTTAGTCATTAGGGAGCTTAAGCAATGACTATGGAAGCGTTTAGTACGGTAATTTTTTCCTGTATTCCTCAAGTAGGGAGTTTAAAGTACCACGACGGAGATATAAAGCGAAGTTTGCTACCGTGAGGCATTGACGCGTGGGGGAAAAATTTATTCCCGCTCACCGTACTAGACGCTTCCGTAGTCGTTGCTTTAAGTTCCTGTTGAGGTACAAAAGGGCGGAAGAGCCACCTTTTCATAAATCCGAGTACGAAATATCACCATAATTGGCTAACAAGGCTACAAAGGGCCTATCACTGAGGACCGTATTTAAGTCCAAAACGGTCCATTCAGGAACGAGATTTGCACAATTTTCCGAGAGATATAACTTCATTTCCCTAAAACCTTGAAGAGCTGGGGTATATTTTACTTCATATTTACTCTGGAACAGGGTTGATTTTTCGCCCATAATCTCTGACTATATTTTTTATCAAGCTTAGGTGAGAAACAATGCCCCCCTTGTCGTATATCACTGAGCCGGTCACAGGAACAGGATTCCTCTTTTTATGAACATTGTTCGGAACAGAGTCTTAAATTCATCTCTCTTTTTTTTTCTAGAACAAGTCCAGAGTCTTACCTATCTGACCATGTGATACCCCCACTACAGTAAATGTAAGAGAGTACCCCCCGGAAATGAGCAACAGTGCACTGTTAGAGGTGTTTGGTCACATCCTGTTCAGTTTCACCCGTGGAGTTGCCGACCATTTTAATTCAGATGAACCTGAATTTACAGCAGAATCATTTGGCTACACTCCTTTAGAAAGCACAGGACGGGAATGGTACCGTCGTCCTGTAGACGAATTTATTTACCAAGAATACAGCGATGGAGAAACCACAAGCTTAGAGTATCTGACGAGAGGGCGACTGAGCGTAAGAGTCATCAATGCGTGTTCATGGGAGGAAAATGATAAGGAGGAGAAATATGACGAAAATCGCACCATGGCCTGGAAACGTTTGCGACCATCTGCTCTTCGAACAGTTTGTAAATCAATGTACACGGGAGCCTTGATTTCAGTTGTAACGGCTATCCTCATAGGAACAATATACATCATGGTTACTTATCTCTCATTTAAAACTGTGCAGAATTGTGAGTTCCAGCCCATGAACTCAACTTCAATACAAATACAATGGATAAGAACAATCTCTGATGTGGTGTCTTGCAGTTTTCTATACATTTGGTTCTTTGCACTTGTGCAGTTTCTATTTCGTCCATTTCAGTTAACCGGTGTGAGAG